TGCAATTTAGCTGTACCATAATCTGCTACTTTAGCTTCATAACTAGCAGCTCCAGTGCAAGGCTTTAATAATACGTTAGGACTGCTCACATCTCTGTGAATAATAGGCTGAGGCTTAAACAGGTGAAGGTAGTTGAGGCCTAAAGCTACATCTTGAGCAATACTCACAATCTGTTCATTGCTTAACTCAGTCTCCTGAAGCTTTTTATAAAGACTAGTGCTCATCAGCTCGGTCAAGATGAGAGGATTACCCACTTTAGTTGCACCAATAAACTGGACCAGGTTAGGATGACGAACTCGTGATGCTATACTCATTTCCCTGGAGAAGAGACCTCGATTGTAATTTGAGATGATGAGAGTATGAAGTGACTTGACAGCTACTCTTAAACCTCTAAAGATACCAACTGTAACGACAGCATAAGATCCTCTTCCTAACTCCTCCTTTGTCAAAGTCACCTCATCTTTATTAATAACCCAGTGATCATCAGTAAGTGCTTGTTGCTGGTACCTACGAACTGCTTCTTGAAACTGAAGTAGGTCCCTATCCTTCTCCTGTAGGTCCCTATCCTTCTCCTGTAGCTCCCTATCCTTCTCAAGTATCACAATATCCTTTTGTTGTAGCGCCTCCTGATGCTCCCTATCCTTCTCTTGTAGCTGATGACGATATCTTCTTATTTCTTGCTCTTTCTCTGCTTCTTCTCTTTCCTTCTGCTCCAATTGTTGATGATAAACTTGTGCTTCTCTCTCCTTCTCTTCAAGACTCTTCATAAGAGCTTGTACGGTTTGCTCAATATCGGCTGTATCTCCTTTTCTTGGTTTCTGGTACTCCTCCAACCATATTCTTCTTCCTGTCTGTAGTTGCTGCTGATACTTCTTCTTGTATTCTTCATTATTCATACCATTGGTATCTAATGTATCACCTACTGTCCACTCTCCTTTAGTGTTAGTAACTAAAATACAATATTAATAATAATTTTAATTAGAAGGTGTGGATCTAATGCAACATTAAGTACGTCAAAGGAAAAGAGACACCTATGGTGCTTGGACTTGCCGCAGTTGCTTTTGAATTCATGCACTATAAAAAACAATGAATCATGGGCTTCATTTCTATTATGCAGCATGATAGAGATAATGACCATAATTCCGCATTGCTTTGGATTAATATTGTATGTTTTGCACTGACTCAAGTCAAAAGAGCTTTAAAAACTAACACCTGCGTATATACTATGATGGCACAGATATTGTTGTCTTGATAGATTTTATTTGCCTAAAAGCCTTTTCACACTAGCAAAAGTAATGCGCATTGATGCGCATTAATCGTGTTCACACTAGAGTGGTTTTCAATTAATGCGCATTGATGTGCATTAATCGTGTTCACACTAGAGTGGTTTTGAATTAATATAATGCGCATTGATGTGCATTAATCGTGTTCACACTATAGTGGTTTTCAATTAATATAATGCGCATTGATGTGCATCACTCTCACTTCACTGGATTGATGTGAAGTGATGTGCTTTGATCAATGGATCAATGTAAACCAATGGCAACAAGAACATAATTCAGCTGCTAGTGTGAACAAGATCAATGCGCATTACTTCAGCTGTATCAACAAAGCGCATCAAAGCGCTTTGAAAACTGTGTCATGCACAAGGGCGTTGCTGCCTAAGGGGGCAGGTAGGGCAGTTGCCCCACCAATATTTTGAAGATCAGTAGCCATTTTTATTAAAATTAGTTATCAAATTATTAATTTAAGACAAGAAAGACTCAATTCTGCTTACTTCTTTACACTTACATCAACAACTAACTAATAATGTAGAATACAGTTGGTAGTTGAGCAATTTTATTGCTGCAATTTGCTGGAAATGAATGCCGTATGAATTTTGGGCGTCAATAATCAATTAATTAACCAAATTAACCACGTACACTCAATTATTATAGCATATATTGTACATGTATAAGTACAAGTACATGTACATGTACACATATATACCCACTATGAAATTAATTAGAAACGGCAAATTTTTTCGCACGCTTCGCGCGAGAAAAACATTTCTGCCCACCAATCTTTTAAGGCCAGCGACGCCCCTGATGCATGAGACAGCAAACAAAAAATGATGCATTAAAAAATCCGAGCAGCTATGCAAGCATGTAAAATTGCCAATTACCTTAAGGCCACTATTATTTGCAAGTACTAATTTTTTGTGTTTTTGTGAGTGGCTTTAAAATCGCAAAAATTAGTACTTGCATTTATTAATAATTTAGGTTTATTAACAGTTATTAATTGGGAAAAAGAGCAAAATCGCAAAAATTTGTCTACTTAAAAATAAGGTATTAATAGAGGCGTGGTTTCTGTGCCAATAAAATGGCATAGATATTAGAGTATAAAGGGATTGGAAACCACCGTTCGTGGCAGGAAATGCTAGTTGTCAATACCATATTGTTTTAAAAATAAATTTCTATTTAAAGAGATAAAAAATATTGAAAAACACAAGAAAATGGAGGGATGAAGCAAGGATGTTGGAACTTTCCCAGTATTTTTTAATTCTTCCTTGGCTTTTATTTTAACAAAAATGATTTATCATTATTTTGATAACGAGAAAGTATCTTGCTCTTGCTTGATGAGGTGGATCCTAAAAGAAGTGCTGCATTACTGTCAATAGACTGTCTGATCATTATGATACCAAAATAATAGGAAATGAAGCTTTATTTACTTATACAGTGAAATTAAGATACAATTATACCTTATTGCCCTCAACATGTGGATGATGTATTTATATATGAAGTTTCAGAGCTGCAGCATCTGTTGTGATTGAGCTAAGGGTACAAAACAAAACTAGTTTTTAGAACAGTTTTTAGCTCATAACTTTCCAACACTACATTGTTTTTCTTTAAAAACTTGACATTGCCCTCAAGTTTGACATTGTTTATTTGTTTATAAATGTTACAGTCAAATATATCAAGAACCTTTTGTGTAAGAGGTACAAACTAAAATCCGGTGGACAATAACTTCAAGCAGGAGAATTCACGGCACAATTAAACGCATTTAGTTGCAATGGACAAAAACTACACATCAATGAATAGAGTAGATCTTAACCTTTACAGGTAGATTATAAAAACAGCTTGCTCTGGCACTCATCTAGATTTACAAACACCAAAGCAAAAGACTCTTCCTCCATTTTGCTCATTTGTGGGGGGCAACTTGCATACGTTGCTAGGATACGCATCATCTACATGTAATAATTCCTGTGGTTTCCAATCCCTTTATACTCGACTATCTATGAAAATGGCCTTAGTATGACATGTGACTGAAGAAGCTTAAGTTTTTTTTCTTCTTACGAGTGGCTTATGACAAGTAATGTAGCACAATACTACTGCCTAGATATAATTTTAAAAGATTTGAGAGAGTCTAGTACTGCTAGCCTGCCATATAACTACAGAAAAAATGGCGTCGGATAGTGAAACATGTGGCTTTGCTTTAGAGGGAGTTTATGCTGCTCTTCACCGTCTTTTCTTTATCTGGTAAGCTGCAAACATGGAAGCTAACTCTCCAGCAATCTGTCTGGACAGTCAAACTCACCTAATCGAGGATCTCTGTTAGCATGTACTGGCCATGCTTTAACAATAAGAAGAAGAGGAAAAAGAAGAATGCATCTCGTCAAGTTGAGCTAGATCCTGAACTTAATGACACTGAACCTACTGAGCCAGCCTCTGCTGTTGATCTCATCTCTTGTCCTTCAGTTCAGTATGAAGAAAAAGATGGCATTTCTGGGGTCACTTATACAACTAAATCAGGACTCACAGACTGGACCCCAGTACGTCAAGTCAGACGAGGTCGTACTAGACGTACTTCTCATAGTTCTGATATCCCACATAGCTCCAACGACTCTGACTCTGAGACTGAAAGTTTAATGGATATCCCTCCTTCTTCTAGTGTTTGTTATTCTGTTTGTGATGGTCAACCAGGCAGGGGCATATCTAAGGGTGGGCCTGGGTGGGCATGTGCCCGACCAACTCAACAGAAGTAAAAAAAATTCTTTTGTATATTAGTCCTTTTAAAAGTATTACTCACTTTATTATGATGAAAGCAATGAGACAAGACTAGCATAGCTAATAGTTTTAGTAGTGTAAATATGATGACAACATGGTAGAGACTTCCATAATTCCACTTGGGCATTTGGGCTGCTATTTTTAAAATAATAACTACTATTAACCAATCTGTTATTAGACTATTCACTTTAATATTCGATTAATTTAATAAATTAATCGAGTGAAAAATGGCTTAAAACTGTGCTGAGTCTTTTTCAATGTCTCCCCAAGGCCAGTACTACTACAAAAAATGTAAGGTGCTGAGGGTGCTTGAGCACCCCCATTAGCCTGAAGGATCAACATTTCTTTCTTCTGCTTCTTTAAGCTCTGGTGTCTCATATCACTGCTAAGTGTCTTAAGCATTCAACACACTTAACAATCATTTCAGCCTCAATTTCAGCATTTTCCAGTGCTTTAAAGGGCAGTAGGAAGCACCACAGTTCCTAAAATTACAGTGACAGCACTTATAATATTTGAAAAGCCATAATCTATGGAAAAGCTAAGCATGCGCGGAAAACAATATTTTAGCGCAGTAAAAGGGGTGTGGTCAAAATCGCAGCGTGCTTCACGCTCCCGGTGTCGGTGCCCAACCGACTCACAGCTTAGATACGCCCCTGCAACCAGGTCTGTTTTTGGCTACTCCTAGGATTAGAACTTGGACTCCTGTCGCTGCCTGGACTCGTCTCAAGACAACTACTAGATTTAATTAAAATTTATTGTTTGACAGTATATGTATATAGTTAGTTTTTTTAGGCTCTACCACAAGTTGGTATGTGTCCTTCAGACTCATCCTTTTTAGTGTGTCATGCTTCTTTGTGTCATTTTGTGTCTGAGTCTGTAAAGCTTAATAATAATAAATTATAAAAAATATTTCCACCTCAATCCTTCCCAAAGTCGAACGGCCAGGATGAAGTTTGGAGCATAAGTTGCTACCAAGTAAGAATTAAGAAATTCTACACATATTAATGAATTAGAAGGTAGTTTTCTACTGGAAAATCCTTTTGTCTATCTCAAGAGTGTCAGCATAATCGCTGTATTTTTTTAAATTTTTCATCCTTACTTTGCGAGCTTCTTCTCCCTAGCGCTGCTCTTTAAACATTTTAAGCTGATAAATGAAGGCTTGGACTAGCTGTGGAGAAAGATCTATGAGTCTACAGGACTTAGTTTTTAATTTTAAAAGTTTTTAAAAAATCTCATTAAGATATGCAGGACAACCCAAGTACTAATACTTTGTACTTAAATATGAGGTTCGTTTGTACTTAATACTCGCCTACGTGGCGAGTCCAATAATTATAATTAGGTAATTAATAGTATTCATTGGTGGGTGTGGCTAATACACTGACCTAGTTCAGTTAACATAACAATGTTAGGATTAGTGACTAGAGTCCGTCTTGTATCAGCATATCCTCCAGCAGTTATTATCCAGACACAATGAGGACTCATAATGAACACTGAGAGAGAATGATTAGATCTCTTACTAACAGAGTGAGGTGCATCTAACTGTTAATAAAAATAAATTAATAATTTACATGTATCTCACTGTACAGATCAATTATTAATAATATCTAACATACCTTTATCCAGGAATGTTGAGTGATGTTAAAGATCCAACAATCATCTAATGTATCATCATTCTTATCCCTCCCACCACTTATCACTAGCATAGGACAGTCTGATCCAGTTATAATAATAGCACCTGCATGTAACCATCTACCCACAGGCCATTGGTCTATTGCTTCAGGTTTCTTTATACACTGCCAGAACTAGAAACAAAATAACCACACCCATTAACTATGTCTCGCAAAATGTCACATGTAAAAAACCGCACCCAGCACACATGTTTCCATGTGTGTAAACGTAATGTAGCAACAACATTTATCCAACTTAACAGCCCAATTGACTTACAAAGGCTGCATTCTGGAGGCTGGAAGGGGAAGAAAGAAAGTATTGGAATATTATATTCCTTTGCCATACTTACATACCCAAAGGATCAGCTAAAATTGAATGTGTTGGAGAGCATCAACAATGTAAGTCCAATACAGGTACAATATGCTAATCTATTATTTCCAAAGGTCAATGATTGCTCATTGCTTCATAGTGCTTCAAGTGATGTGACTTTTGTTGCAAGGAGTGTGTAAATACAGTCAATGTATTGCAAATTTTTGTTTTATTTATATTTTATTTATTCAAATTGGGCTATAAAAATTATACAATACAATAAGAACAGTAAAAATAGGAGGAAGGGAAAAGTGTAATTTAACAACAAAATACTATTGATATGAAATAGCAATAAAATTTAAGCAAACTGCATGTTTTATGGCATCCAGACCAAGAGATGCTTAATACTACCACTCTAAAGCTTGTTCTTTAGCACTTTCTCCACAGCTCTTGGAAAGTCGCCATTTTGATAATCAATTTTTATGTGACTTGTGGTCACGTGTCAAGGATAACCGAATCTGATTGGTCACGGCAGATTCTGGACGCGAGAACAAAACTAGGTGGCTCAATGTACCAGACCCTTCCCTGCCATCCACCCAAATGAGTATAGGTGGGAAGGGTATGGCTTGCAAGACTAGACATTAGTGTGTGTGTGTGTGTGTGTGTGCATACATTCAGTACACATAATTTAACATACCACAGTGCTGATTGATATCTCTAATATATAAATATTGTTAGTAAAATTATCCTTAGCATCATCCCGTATTCCACCAAACAGAATAGCTCTAGTGTTGTTGATCTTTTCAATGATGAAGCTAGCAGCAGGTGGTATACACTGACCAATGATTGAAGGATTATTCCATTTTCCTAAATTATTATTATTATACAATAATTTCAAACAGTATAAAATCTTACTTGATGATAGATTATACATTGAGTGCTCATTAGTAAACCATGTTCCATCAGGTATCTTAATATATTTATGATGAGGTAGTTGTACAGCTGGTTTAGATCCTGCTCCTCCTATCATTAGTAAATGGTGTACTCCATCATGTTCAAATGATATCATTCCACCATCACTTCTCCTCATAACTGGTCTAGTTGCATCAGTTGGTTCTAATTCTCTCCATTGAAGACTAACAGTATCCAGTTGTGTAATACTGTTGTGAAAGCAGAAATCATGGCCACATCGTCCCCCGAAATAATACAATTGATCATTTATTGCAGTACAGGAGTACAATCTTACTCCTGATGGAGGAATACCAGTAGTACCTCTAGTGATCCATTGACCAGTTGAAGGAGTAAAGTGCTGTATATTACTAGTGATCCTTCTCTTCTCTTCACTATCATGTACTCCAGGTAAACCATCCTGATCACCAGCCCACACATACAGTGAATCACCTACTGATACAGTGCGGTGAAAGGCTCTTCCCTTCAGTTGATCTATATATCAATGATTGACAGTACATGATACTGGAATAGTAACATCAGGACTTACTTTTAGAACCGAATAACCAAGCCATTGCAAGCAGCTCCTGCCTGGATTGCTGGCGGCATATGCACTGGCCACATGCACAGTGGGCAGTCCGGCGCCCGCCAGCCCCACAAACTGGATCACGTGATATACAAAACTGGGACTGGGTGGAGCTAATTATTTTTTTACAGTTCTAAGTGCAAAATGTGATTTTCTTGTGATTTTTGTTTAAAGTATTTAGATATTAATACCGCTTTAAGTACAGTAAAACAAGACAAATATTTATGATTGTGTGAAGGAATCTCTCCCTGTCCTTCAATGTCCCTCCCTCTCTCTCTCTCATCATTACAAAAATGAAGAGAGAGAGAACTAAATGAAATTAAAACTTTGTAAATCAACTAATACAAAATAATAATAATAATAATAATAATAATAATAATAATAATAATAATAATAATAATAATAATAATAATAATAATAATAATAATAATAATAATAATAATAATAATAATAATAATAATAATAATAATAATAATAATAATAATAATAATAATAGATGATTAAATGATCATTAAAAGTATACCATTAGTACTAGTACATGTACTTCCTTTA